CAGCTATCACGCAGTATGGGCTGCCACAAGTCGCCGAAGGCTGCTTTATGTAAATAAATGAGTTTTATAATAAATCTTTTTGAAGGAACACCGGTAAAAAACAGTGTTTCGTCTCACGATATTGTACAAATCACCATCAGTGATACCAGACATTGTCTAGCAATATCTGTGCATGACTGAGAGGGAAGCATGCCAGAAAGAGGTACTCATGAATCAAGGGACGTAGCTGTCGTGCACTGAACAACGCTGGCACAAGTTCAGCTGCACATCGAGATGCATATGCTACTAATCTGTCCTCTCACACGGGATGAAGTGACCCGAGAATCATTCTTTCACTAGTGGAGTCATTGGCCGAGATGGCCCTTGCATTGTATGCACTACAAACTCCATACAAGTCAAATGACTATTCTTCACCTTGTAGCGCCAACATCACTATTATTAGGTCCGCGCATAGTGAAAGCATTGCTAGCATTCACGACGTAGATAATACTTCACCGAGAGACAGTCCACGAACAATAAACTTCAAACTCCACTCCATCGAATCGGATTCTATCTGTATTTGGCTAACTGCGGGGCCTGCTTCATCGGTTACCGGAAACCACAATATTTACCAATTGTTTCTGCGTGCTGTCATTGAGGACCAGTTGTTTCCTGCAAGATGCACGAAAAAACCACAATGGCGTGAGTTCGTAGTAGGTGTTCAGAACACCGTGTTCTCTGTTACATAGTAAAAGCAAAACATTGATCTACGAAGTAGATGTCAGTCCAACCGGACGTACACACATTTCTGGAAACTTATCATCTGCTTTGCAAAGTCGTGAAACTCATCAGTGTTATCTGTTGTTGACTATGTCCTGGAACGATTACATCTCCCATTACCTCCTCTCTGAAGGGAAGTGCTACGCTGGGGCTTTGGGCAACTCATCTGACTATAAGATCTTCGCTGCTCAGGGTGATCATGCAGGGTTAGCAATCTCGGACAGGTCGATTGGTCAGGTGCCACCTCTGAGCAGGAGGGCTGGGCGGCGACGTTCTCTGAAGACTTCATCACAGAGGTCCTCGTTGACGAGGTTACTGAGCGAACTGAGCAGGTTATGATCAACGAAGCGACGACTCTACGAGAGGCGATGGAGACAGGTAGCTGGTTGCATATTATGGTAACGCATATGGCCTCTTTTAGGGACTACCTCTCATGGTTTGTTCATTGGACGTCAGAAGTACCGAATTGTTAAGTATGAGACTGACTTCGACTGTGCTGGACAGGAGTAATCCGGAATGATAACGTGCTGATTTGACTTTGATTCTCTCAGAGTTGTTTGTTTATTCGGTGCTCTTGGAAAGAAGGGTGTTTGCGTAATTAACACAGGTAATAGGATTGCATCACTGGTAGGAAGACGTGTTCTTGCAGGAACAATGCTCGTGATGGGCATGTACGACGAGGAACTCGGCCAGACTGGTGGCAATTGCAAGAGTGCTTGTGCTGCATTTGCGGAGTATCAAGCTCGAGCGGCGTTCGAGGTCAAGATGGTCTCTTGTTTTCAGGTTCTTGCTTCAGAACATGTGACGATTTGAACCTACAACGTCAGATGGATAGAGGGAGTAGTATTATGACGACGTTATGATAGTTTCCTTTATGCATTTTACCATGCCTCGTATTGCGTTCAAGTTGAGCATCCCATCGCTGAGTAGCTCTTCGGTTTTCGAAAGCAGCGAGGCCCTGCTTCGACTACCTGTCGGTAGTACCGGGAGGTGCTGAGAGGCCGACGACGGCATTTAGAAAAGATACTCCATCTTTCATCGATGAGTATCCTAGCCGTGCTGTGACACACGAGTTCTTCCCTGTATGTGAAGATACCATTCGCCATATATTTTGATGGAGGTAGATCGATACGTAGACTATCCCCGTGGTCACGTTTGGTCGAGTGAGTTGCTTCACAGAGATATCGCCTTGTAACTCCGCATGCTCATAGATCAGCTTCGAAACCACCGATACTACGTTTTCACTGTCATGCATTGCTGTTCCTTCACAGCAGGGACTGCCGATACAACTCATGTGTTCAGAGTGATTGGCGATACCAAGCATGAAAGTAGTAGCAGTTGGTGGCTCCAGCTTTCTCCCGACTACTATTGTCTCACATTTATGATCGCCACTCAGCAGTCCATATCGAGGCAACGTAAATCAGTCTCACTGACAACTGAACCGTTGTTAGAGATCTCGGGAGGAAAGTACGAACATGAACCACGATGATTAAGATCAAACACTCCAATTCTAAAAGTCTATCGCGGAACCAGTCAATTGGAACGGTCCTTAATAATGAGCAATACATGATACAACAATCACGTTCTCCTGCTCTAAGGCTGCGGCCGTAGACTTCGTCTCTTGAATCCTTCGCTCCTTTTGGCCTTCGTCCCTCAGCGAGTGTTCAGAACGGCTCGATTCTGCTCCAGTTGGTCCTGCCGTTCTTTCAACAGACAGCAACATGCTAATAGTACACTGCGGAGCGAGCGAGTACTGGAGAACGATATAGAGCTGCACTACCCCGACAATGTGAGGCAGCTACATAAGACCTCTGCGAGCATCTAGATGCTGCACGAGGGCCAAAAACAGTCGATCGAAGGCTTGCGGCGTTTCCAATCGACAAGCATCTTATGTAAGTAATAGGGCACGCCTCCTTTAATAGGGCTCTAGGAGCGGACAAGAGCAGAGGAGATGTCTGACATTCCCTATCGGAGCTCCACAATCACTCACAGGAGAGGCGATTACCCCACACCTATGTAGATAGACACGAGTTGGAGCTCGTCCCGAGCACTATCGCACTGCCAGCTGGGGTGGCTTCTCCGCGGCTCCATAATCTCGCATGGGAGGCGCAGTAGAAGAAGTCGTGAACGCCAGTACTGAGACCAGCCCGCTTTTCTGACCACCACTTGCGTAGTGAGTCACT